CCCCACACCCTAAACCCTAAACAGCAAGTGCCGGGAAGAGCTGACACCTCGTAGAGCAATCGCCGCAAGCGCTGCAGCTGCTCCGCGTACCTGGGCTTCCCAGAATTTAGGGGTTTAGGGTTATAGGGTTTAGGGTTTTAGGGTTTACGGTGGGTTTAGGGTTTTAGGGTATTTACGGTGGGTTTAGGGTTTTAGGGTTTAGGGCTTTTTGTTTTTATAGTTGGGGTCACGGTCTCTTTGGGTTTAGGGTTTAGGGTTTTAGGGTGCTTGTTCAAGGAAACTTGATTGCAGCAGGATCTCTCTATTCTAAACCTCAATAAATGCTGCAAGGGAGAATGGTTTATCGGTATGCTAATCCGTAGACTACATTAGCCAGAACCCCTTCAAATCTAAGTATTAGCGATAGGAATATGAGCTAATTATCCCAGCACATGGGAGAGCATTCCTCCCACTATACAGGGAGGAGAGGTTGCTTAATGGAAGCCTCTGGGTTGATGGAAGCTGGGGTTTAGGGTTGAGGGTTTAGGGGTTTAGGGGTTTAGGGGTTTGGGTTCAGGGTTTAGGGGTTTAGGGTTGAGGGGTTTAGGGTTTAGGGTCTGGGTTGATGGAAGGTGCTGCCAGATTGGAGGTGCTGTGCCCCTGGGCTTTTGGCAGAGGTTTGACTGAAAAGCCACAAGTATTGTCCGAACCAGCTCATTTAAGGGCTTTGGGTTTCGGGGTATATAATTTAACTATGATAGCTACAATAAGGAATCCCGAGAATTAAGATTATTGGACAATTTTCAGGAAAGCCACCACAAACACTCTAACACATCAGCCGTCACATCCTGAAACGTAAGTGGGCAAACCTTGAACTCTGTTAGCAGAGAAGACCGAGACTCATTAATGCAAGGGCCTTAATAGTTAGAATTGGGCGTTCGGATACATATATATATATATATATATTATAAATGGGAACCCCCAACATAGTATTGGCAATTATTTAGGCCCCTATATTAAACGACCAAGCCCTAAACCGGCTGAATCCCAAAGCCTGAATCTTCCAAGCCCTACGCCAATCAAACCATATCAAACCTCTCATCAGTCCCAGTTGCTGTGTCTGACTGCGGACCAGATTGTGCGCTTCGTCCATCAGCCTTACGACTACTCGGGTCAGCCGGGATCCGTTCATATAGTCGCTGCTAATGCTGCTGTTACTTGCGATCCGCATGCCGCATAAAGGCTCATTTGCTTGCAAGATTCCTATAAGTTTCACATTTCTATAAGCATAGGCGCACGCAGACAGACAGACAGGACAGACAGAGACAGAGAAAGACAGAAAGACAGCCAGGAAGGCAGGCAGGCAGGAGAGAGAGACATAGACAGAGACAGACAGCCAGACAGCAAGACAGCAAGACAGCCAGGCAGGCAGGCAGGCAGGGAGGCAGGCAGGCAGGCAGGCAGGCAGGCAGGCAGGCAGGCAGGCAGGCAGACAGACAGACAGACACTACACACACATGCACATGCACGCACGCAGAGAGACAGCCACACACACACACACACACACGGGCGCTGACACGCCACAGCACCTCAAGCAGATAAAGCCTGGGAGCACAATCTTGTTGCAATAGACGTTGCCAGTGCCAGTAGCATAGCCGATCCTGGGGAATGTGCCTAGTTAGAATCCTAGAAGCTCAACATGAACACCAGAACCATCTGCATAACTGCGCCTATACACTCAACCCTAAACCCCAAGCTCGAAATCCTAAACCCCAGAATTCCTATATCAGGGCTTCGGGGTGAGTCTTCCCTCGAAGACGAGGGGCGCAAGTGGGAGGATTCTATGCGCAATGTAGGGGCCTTCATGATTAGAATAGGGCTTTTTCTTTAGGGTTTAGGGTTTAGCGTAATGTAGGGGCCTGAGGCATTGTCGGTATACTATACTATAATTAGAACAAGGGACCCCCAAAATAGTATAGGTATTTATGAAGGCCCCTATATTCATACGACCTCATGAGCATGGCCTTGCCATGCATACAGTAACATATCTTGGGAGTATAGTTCTCTACGTTAGGGTCCCTTTTGGGGTCCCTTTTGTAAGAGTGCCGTACGATTTTCGGGGACCTGAGAAATCACCCTAGTGTGAAGAACTACCCATATAGGTGCCAAACAGTAAGTAAAGTGTAGCATGGTACAGTATAGCATAGTATTGAGCATAGGTATAGCATGGTATAGTGTGGTCTGGTATGTCTGGGATTCTGAGGGCATACTAACACCGCTGTGCACGAAACTGCCTGAATATTGAAAACCCTACATCACCTGTAGTCGACCTGTTTGCTTCTACTCTACCAATATTCTATAATGATTGGGCGCACCACCGAACCCTAAACCCTAAACCCTAAACCGATCTGGTCCGAGGCTCTTCATCAAGGAGCTCATTGGCTTATTGTCGCCACCGATTTTGGCAAAAGAGCCGCCGGCAGAGGTGTAGCCCAAAGCCCGAAGCGGAGCAGCTGGCATGCACTCACCTGACAGTTTAGGGTTTAGGGCTTTGGGTTTCGGGGTTTAGGGGTTTAGGGTTGGGGGTTTGGGTTAATGCAGGGGAGAATAGGCTTTAAGGTATCTGGAGTTTTCCAAAATTACAATGAGGACTGCGACTGACTACAGTCTCAAACCCTAAACCCTAAACCCTAAACTTAAGTATTCTGACCCCGGTCCGACCCCGACGTTACACCCCAAACCCTCGTGGCGTAAGGGTAATCTTGAAATCCTGGAGGGGGTATAAAAACCCTAAACCCTAAACCCCTAAATCCTAAACCCTGAACTCCTAAACCCCTAAACCCTATACCCTAAAATCCTAAACCCCACACCCCTAAACCCTATACCCAAAACCCCTAAACCCCAACAGTATAAAACCTAGACCCCAAACCCTTAAGGGGAAGAGGGAAATGGGAAACCTCAAGGAACTTTAAAGAGGAGCCTGAGGGAGTGCGACGAGTAATAAGGTAACTTTGGCTTACACAGGTAGATCTCTAAATTAGGGCCCTGTTAGGTCTCCCCAAACAGTAGGGTTCAGGGTTTGAGGGTTCAGGGTTTAGGGTTTAGGGTTTAGGGTTTAGGGTTTAGGGTTTAGGGTTCAGGAGCTCACCGGGGTTTAGGGGTTTACTGTTTAAAAGTTCAATGCACACGCACATGCATCCCGGACACACCCCGCGTGCTTGGGACGTTGAACGTGGAAGGCACGCAAAGGTGCCCCCCCCCTTGTCCCTCTATGGGGCCCATGAATAAATATAGCAATACCACCTTAAACCCGAAAAGCCCTTCCCTCAGAAATTCGTGACAGACTAACCACCCTTGAAAAGTATTACGCAAAACACCAAGGCCCTCGTGAGACCTGGATAAGCCCCTGTCCCCCACATGCGACCTATAAAGCCTAAACCCTAAAACCCTAAACCCTATAACCCTAAAGCCCTAAACCCTAAAACCCTAAACCCAAAAGCCCTTAAACCCTAAACCCTAAAACCTAAAACCCTAAAACCCTACAAAGAGCGGAAGGAGCGCCTGGGTGCTTCCGGTGGAAAGCTGCTCTGAGCGACCTCCTCACGCGGCCCATGTAGAACATTCCTGGCAATGTAAGTCTTCAGAGACTCCAAAACCCGGTAATTAAGGAATATACCTTAGATCAGATTAAGGATCCTACCATATTTTTGGCATTTTTTTGGAGGGAAGGGTCTCTGTAGGCTCTTCAAGATCTTTACAGATGTATTTCAGTAATCTCGTCTCTGCATATATGGATATTGAAATCAATCCAACGGATTCAGTCAGTCTTGTAAGGTTCCTTGGACCTAAACCCTTGAGGGGGTTGTTTCCTTAAGGATGAACCCCAAAAGGCTTTCAGGTTCATATGCCATATTATAGGGAGTCATAGTATAAGGGTATAGGGCCCCTACTTATAAGGGTCATTTCGTCCGCAAGGTTTGGGTTCCCTATAATAAGGTTCCCTCTAAGGGTACTATAAGGTTCGAACTAAAGTAGGGTTCTATAATCGGGTTCCCATTAACGGTACTATAGGGTTCTGTAACAGGGTTCCCTTTAAGGATACAATTTACCTTAACCCCAAAGAACCTACCTTTCCTAAGGATTTATTTACAGAAATCATGACCCTAAACCCTAAACCCTAAACCCTAAACCCTAAACCCTAAACCCTAAAATCATGACAAGGAGCCCTAAAGAGGTAGGTTCAATAGGGGCCCAGGGAGGGTTTGAGGCCCAGTGCTGCGCCCCCCAAAAAGCCCTAAAAAGTCTTTAACTACAAGAACTCTGGGCTGGTCTTTCGAAGCGCAAGCTGGGTATCTGTTTGGCGAGCTTATGGCGTTAGGGTTTAGGGGTTTAGGGTTTAGGGTTTAGGGTTTAGGGGTTTAGGGGTTTAGGGCTTCCGGACTATGGCCATGCAGGTTGGTGACCGTTTTCGAGTGACGCTTTGGGGTGAGTGGGGTGTTTAGATGCGCTTGTAGGGCTTTGAAGTTGCGGGATTCAGGGTTTTGGGGGCCGTCTGGTTTGCTCAGGGTGTAGAACTTCTAGCGAGAACCTCAGAAGCTTTGAAGCAAGGGGTACAGGGGTGAATCCCGGCTCGTCAGAACAAGACAGCACAAATATGGGCTGGACTTCAGGGTGTAGTTTAGCAGGGTGTATTGCAGGGAAAAGCAATGCGTCACCTGCTAAGCCACAAGTTAAGCAAGCTCCACTGTAACCCGTCTCCCCCAAAAACATTCGGAAGAAGACTCAAGACATGTAGAGCAAAGCCGGGATCGAATAGGAAAGAAGGCTGGTGTACAATGAAGCAAACTGCCCGGGATTGCTGCGCTGTTGCCAAGATTGTCTCCGAAACGCGACGCCCTAGCTGAAGAGAACATGCCAACAAATGCAGCGTAACCGTCGACCACGCGGAGATGCTAGGTGCTGTCGGTACCTTCCGACGATTCCGATCCGCCTGCCTCCAAATCATCCTCCGCGTAGGGCACAGCGTAAATGTACTGACCATGCTGTTGCGAAGTGTGAGGCACAGCGTACAAGTACTGACCGAGCTCTTCTGAATCCACTTCTGTCATGGATTGGATCACCAGTTCCAACTTCTTCTTAAACTCGGGTTGACTGCCACACTCCAAGCCAAAGGCGATCAGCGGCCGAACAATCGCTTGGCAAGCGTCATAGGCTGATTTCGGCAGCTCCTCATACTCCCTCATTGCCTCTGCCAGTCCTGCAGGAAGAGCATCCCGATCTGCACCGCCTGCCAAGAGGGCAGCGCACAGCAGCCGATGGACATCTGCACCTATTTGGACCCGCATCCGTGCATCTTGAGCTTGCCGGAAGTGGCCCCAAACCTTCTCCGCAAACTTCAGCTTTGGAATCTGATGTTCCAGAATCCTCAAGCCTCCCACTAGCAGCAGCTCCCCTCTGGGCGAGCGCTCCACGGCCTCCAACATGGCTCTTGCCGGCAGACCGATGCAGAGCTCTGCAGGAATGGCCTGCACGAAGTCCTCTGTCAGGAGCCCTCAATTCTGGTAACCTTAACCTTGGTTTAGGGTTTAGGGGTTTTGGGCTTAGCGTTTATCATAGGGTTACCCCAAGATCCTATAGTATGAAACAAGAATTACACCGTAACCTTATCGTGGTAACCTGATGGGCTCGGAGGTCCTCCGTGAGGAGGCACGATTCCAGGGCTTCCCGGCCCAACCGGATCATCTGGCGCCCCAAGCCACGCCAGGCTTCTTGGATGACATCTTCCTTAAGGACGAAATGAACCCCAGGAGGTTTTCAGGTTCATATACCATATAGGGATTCATGGTATAAGGGTATAGGGCCCCTACCCTAAACCCTAAACCCTAAACCCTAAACCCTAAACCCCTAAACCCTAAACCGGTATAGGGCCCCTACTTATAAGGGNNTAAGGGTCATTTGGTCCCCAAGGTTCCGACACCCCGAGCTGTCGGGCGAGGCTGCGCAGGCGTAGGTCCCAGGAGTCCTCTGCTAGGCTGAATGAAAGAAAAAAGGAAACAACGGACATAACACGACTATAGCCAGGATACATTTAAACAAGGTTACCTGGATATATATATATATATATA